AGAAGACTACAGATTGTCATATATAGGTGGAAAAACAGAGCCAATGAACCTGGCAGTGATCTCCATTGAAGACAGTGGGATCAGGCTGCACAAGTAGCCCCCATGTTACAGGCTGAAACTGAAACTACTCTCCAGGTTGAAGATTTGTCTAGATTCTTTCCAAAGTGCCGAGCGTAGGGCTGGCAAAACCTCCTTTCTCCCCTCCCCATCACATTTTGCAAGCATCAGCTGCAAGTCAGAGCAGTCTCTCTTGTAGCCTGTGGCTACAAAGGAAAGCACACACCTTTGCTTTGCCTGCAGACACCTGTTGCCTGCTGGGAACAGGCCCACGCAGCCAATGAACAATGTGGACTCCGCCCACCAGTTGATATCATGAGTGACATCAGCTGATTGACAGGAGGACGTGGTTGGGCCTCATGGATCAAACTGGAACAACCTCTGTTGGCCAGCATTAGTCTGTGAGCCGAAGGTTCCCCACCCTTACTAGGTTGACCTAGGTTCAAGATCCCACATCTGATGCATTCTTTTATCTTGGATAGCACAGTAGTGCTTAGCACTTGAGTCCACCTCCACCACATACCTATGAAATTGTCCTTTTGCTTGGCCAGGGAAGATAAATCACAGATCACAGAATTCATTGTTTCTTGAAGCCCAGTTGGGATTTGCTTTAGCAACAGAGTGTACTTGGTTACTACTTATCCCACAGGGTCGATATGAGGACAAAGGTGACAACTTCACCTAAGCCCTTGGGGAGGCAAGCAGATGATCCCAAGAAGATGGAAGAAGGAAGGGAGCTTGGGGAAAACATTACCCTTTCTGTGCTTGCATCAGCCTTGTTGACATCTGACGTGGAAACTCTTAATTCAACTGATCCTGATTTTCTCCACCTTTTCTTGTCCTGGTAGGAGTAATAAATGTAGAATTTCCCATTGTCCTTGTATTTGGGGTGGAAGGCATCCCGAGGAACCTCTTTAATCTCCTAACCAGGGGGTGGTCAGCACCATGTTCTTAAATATCCAGAAAAGGCTCCTTCCAGGCGACTTCCATCTGGAAGAAAGACCCAGATGATGCCCACTTGTCAGCCACAAACATGCGATGGGTGTTGTCGTTCGCGTGCGCCATCAGCACAGGATTCCTCAGTCCATTGGCCACCTCTTTTAGGCACAGCTGAGGCAGCCTTTCTTGTCCTCCACCACAGAGCCCAGGTTACGGTTCAGGTCTGTGTTTTTCAGCACGTCGGGGAAGCAATAGTCTTCATCCTGGATGTTAAGCAGGTTGCAGAAGCGGGTCTTGTTCCTCTCGCAGCATTCCTGGATGGTTTGTCGTCGGTAAGCAACGTGATGCAGTAACGGCAGTAGAGGGTGGAACTCGAACAGTAGTCCGAGCAAAAGGCCAGGCAGGTTCCGCAGGGGAGTCTGAGGATTTCTCGGCACGTAAGATGAGCTGCGTAGGGTGAGCATTCCTGTTAAAGGGCGAAAGCATTCTGAAAGTGCTGTGCAATGGACTCTATCTGTGTGGCTGCTGCTGTAGCACGATCATGCCTCCTCAGTCTGCACATTTATGTATTACAAAGACACCTCAAATAGCAGGCCTGAATAGCTCAGCTGGTTGGAGCGTGCTACTGATAATACCAAGGTTGCAGGTTCGATCCCCACATAGGACAACTGCATATTCCTACGTTGCAGGGAGTTCAACTTGATGGTCCTCAGGGTCCCTTCCAACTCTACATTTTTATGATTCTATAATCCTAAGTGTGCAATGCTCCCTGATTTTAAGAAACGTAACAGCCCCATTGGATCAGACCAAAGGGCTATGGAAGGGAGACCTCTGGATACTGTTGGACTGCAACTCCCATCAGCCCCAACCAGCAAGGCCAATGGTTGGAGATGATGGGAGACATAGTCCAACAACATCTGGAAAGCCAAAGGTACCCCATCCCAGACCTAATCCAACATCTTGTTTCCCACAACAGCCGTCCAGAAGCCTATGGAAAGCTCACATGCAGGACATGAGGAAATAGCCTTTTCCACTGTTATTACCCAACAATCAGTATTCAGAGCATGGTGCCTCTGATGCCGAAGGTGGCATATAACCCATACCCTCTCACACGCCCCAGCGGAAAACCGGGATGCATGGCTTTTGGGGGCATGCTCCTGCATGAGTCATTTTGTTCGCATGAGAGCAAGGCCCTGAAAGATGCAATATTGCTAGAACTGGCTAGAATTGTTTAAAAGTGCTTTTCCAAAAAAAAAACAAAGTCTTTTTGTTGGGGATAATTAAGACAGAAATTCCCAGGTATCAAAAAAGGTTCTTTATGTATGCCACTGCTGCGGCCTGTGTTTTGTTAGCCCCAAAATGGAAAACAAACGAGGTCCTAACTAAAGAAGAATGGCAACTTAAGCTGATGGAATATGCACAGCTTGCAGACTTAATATATAGAATAAGAGAACAAGAATAACATATGTTTAAAGAAGCATGGAAAATGTTTACTGAATATATGGGGGGAAATTGTGTACACTTGAAAACGTTGGCAGCATAAAGATAAATTCAACAGTGTAAGTAAATTTTGATGGATGTAATAATGGAATACTGAATGGTTTATGTAAAATATTCAGGAAGGTCATTGCTAATTTAAGGATGTTTAAATGAGTATTCTAAATTGGTAAAACAGAAAATTTAATTAAAAAATTATATAGATAGATAGATGATAGATAGATGATAGATAGATAGATAGATAGATAGATAGATAGATAGATAGATGATAGATAGACAGACAGACAGACAGACAGACACACACACACACACACACACACATATATTTCTTCTTCGGCGATCACTCATAGCCGAGTAAGATTGTCTTCTATAAACACAGTTTTAAGAATGAGTCACTCCGTAAGTGACTGTGGACAGTGGCGTAGTGTGGGTTGTCAGCACCCGGGGCAAGGCAAGTAATTTGCGCCCCCTAACCCGTGGATTTGCGCCCCCTAACCCTAACCCCCAGATGTTGCGCCCGGTGCGGCCGGCCCCCCCTGCACCCCCCACGCTACGCCACTGACTGTGGTGGCCAATTCTGGTTCCACACGTCCTTCCACAGTGGGGACATTGGTTCCCGGCGGAAGTTGATCATGGTGTGGATTTGCCAAGCGTGCCTTCCTCTTAGCACGTTTCTCCCTTGTGTTCTGAGTTTGAGTGTCTTCAAAGTCCATGACACCTTTGGTAAAGGCTGTTCTCCAACTGGAGCGCCCGCAGGACAGTGTTTCCAAGTTGTCAGTGTTTATTCTACATTTTTTAGATTTGCCTTGAGACAGTCTTTAAACCTCTTTTGTTGACCACCAGAATTACGCTTTCCATTTTGTTCCCATTTATTGGGGTATGATAACCATTGTTATTAGCAGCCAGTGATAGCCATATCTTCCATGTGTTGTCTATTCTCCCCTTTAAAAGCTATCTATGTTGTGATGGCACTTGATGGCCACACCACCATCTTGTGTAGGCAGAATCCATAGCTATGTCCAAGAAGTGTGCCATTCTCGCCATCAACACAATAGCATTTCTCCATCTTCGCCACACAGAGGACCTACTATTACGTGCTTGCTCTTCTTCTTGCCTTACATAGCTTTTTGTTATTCCAGTCCAAAACTGACTTGTTAAATCCAAAGCTCTTGTTTGACTATTGACTATACAGTTGTACCTTGGAAGCCAAACGGAATCCGTTCCGGAAGTCCGTTCAACTTCCCAAAACGTTTGACTTCCAGGGTTCAGCTTCCGATTGGCTGCCAGACGTTCGGCTTCCAAAAGAACGTTCGCAAACTGGAACACTCATTTCCGAGTTTACAGCGTTCAGGAGTTTGACTGCTAAGGCGTTCATCAACCAAGATACGACTGTAACTGGGAATCTCAAAGTGGTTTGGCAATCAATCCTTCTTTGCAGGGAGCTCTGGGAATGGTAGCTTTGTGAAGGGAATAAGAGTGGCCTGAACAAGTATCAGCATCCTTGACAAACTGCAGTTCCCATAATTCTTTGAGGGATGCTATGATGACTGTTTAAAGTGGTGTGATGCTCCTTTAAATGTAAAGGGCAGGTGGGGCCTAAATCTTCAGAGCTCAGTATTGTATGCTGAAGTGCAGTTCAACAAAATGTCCCCTCTGACAAGCCTTTGTCCCAGCATTTGCTTTGGGATCCTACAGTCTCTCCCTGTCTCAAGTCCAAACTTAGCCCCTGCAGGGGCTGTCTTTCAGAGAACGCAAGCAACCCCCATTTGCGGCTAAAAATGTCTGAGGTCAAGACATTCCTAAGGGTCTATATAACAGTTGCTAGGATTAAACCGCCTTGCCAGTAAAAGGCTGGCCCATCTGTTCCTTTTTCCTCATCTATGTGAGAGGTTGCAAATGGTGTTCTGCTCATTGTTCCAACCTCTGTCTCAGAGGGGCTGATGAAATATTAAGTCTTTAGGTCCCTCTGTGACTACTGTGTCTGCCGTTTTATAAGGATTTCCTCTCCCTGTCTGAAAAGTTGTTTCCACATAATAGTAAGTGGAGCTATGCAGAATTAACTATTGTCTCAGTTGTTAAGGGTTGGTGGGAACCGTGACTCTGTGAGGGATAAACTAGAGACACCAGGATTTGATTTTATTTTTTTGAGGTGTGGAAAATGTGCTTCAAATGTGCTTTAAAGGCACAGTGTGTTAAATGTGTTTTTCTGCATTTAATGAGCAGGGGTTTTGAAGTGAAACTTTTTGCATCAGCTTGGGTGGTGGAACTGATAATTAACAGGAGGAGAGAGAGGGAGTTTAACCCTTTCCTCCCCTGCTGCAGTCCGAAAGGAAATCCTTTCTCTGGAGCTAGTATTTGCATAGGCAGGAATTCCTGCCCTCTCTGGCACCACTGCATATTGGATGCAAAGACACATTTGAGGTCACCTTCCTCTTTGGCCCTAAGACTGATATTAATTAATTAATTAATTAATTAGTGAATAAATGTGATGGTTCCTGGCACCGATTAATTACCGTATTTTTTGCACCATAACACTCACTTTTTTCCTCCTAGAAAGTAAGGGGAAATGTCTGTGCGTGTTATGGAGGAAATGCCTACGGGTGGCATGCCTACGGATTTTCCTCCTCTAAAACTACGTGCGTGTTATGGTCGGGTGCGTGTTATAGAGCGAAAAATACGGTAATTGGTGCCAGGAACCATCACATTTATTCACTATTTCCAGCAGTGGTGCCAACACACCAAGATTTGGGGGCAGAGGTTTGAGGGGCCCATTCAGCAAAAGGAGCAGAAGGGCTCACCTTTCAGATTAAGCGAGGCAACAAGCACATTGCCATCTGAAGAGGGGCAAAATCTTTAAGTCCTAAGTAAACTGAACCACTGGCTTCATTTTCCATCCAGGTTGTCTTTGCTTTACTTTAGACCCATTCCATCCCTGCCCCTGACACACACAAAGTATCCCACACTGGGGGGAAATATGGGTTCCTGTGGCTGTGAAATTATTTTTAAAAATAAGCAGCTTCCTTTTGACTTCACAATCTGAGCAGTGTTGCCCCTTGAAGAGAGCGTATTCAGTACATGCAGATAATATTTTAGCGCTGAGGAAGCTTAGATGGAAGAGTGCTAAGTGTTTGCCTGGTGTGTGTTTTGGCTCCTTTGTGCTGGCAAGGAGTGAATCATTGACCTCCATGACTCACTGTAAAAGGGGAACCCTTTCTGCTCGTAAATCACTGGATAGGCAGGGTGCCAATGGGAGCTGCACCCTTTGCTCATTGTTCTCCTGCTAGTTACACACACACACACACACACACACACTGGCTGGTTTCTGCCTTCAGCCAGATGGGCAGCCTTCACTAGAAAGCAGGGGGAGCAGGAACCGAGCAACTGAGACTGGAGGGAGCCCTTTCCAAGAAGGCATGGGTGCCAGCTGTTTGATCTGAGGCTGCTTTCAGAGCTGCATCTTTCCAGGGCACCAGGCAGCAGCACAATCTAAACACATCGCTTCATGGCATCTGGGAATCAAAACACCAAGGTCCACTTTGCTCAGCCCTGCCTAAGCCGCCGAGCGCTGCCCAGTCTCGGTCTGCATTTATTTGCAAAGCAAATGGAAGAAACACTTATCTTTTTGTTCCGAACCTCAGACACAAAATGATTAGCTTCGCCACCTTTCCAGCAACGGAGAGCACCGCTGCTGCTTCATTTGATCTAGAATATTAACTTGAAAGTGTGTTTTGTAGCCCCCTTGGGCACACAAAAAAAACCCTGCTTCACAGCTCGCCTTGAGCCTCACAACAACTTTGCGAGAAAGCTGAAGTGGCTCGCCAAAGGGAGGCCCGGAAGAAGACAGCAGTCCAAAGAGATTTTGCATTCCTATTTCTTTTGTCGCACTTTTCCCACCGTTCAAACAGGTTTGGCAGGTTTCTGATATGAAATCCACAAAATCTGTTTAGCAGGGGTTAAAGTAGCATGAGTGAACAAGTTGCAAGCTGTGATTGCTCTTCCAAACTATCTTCAAATTTCCGGGGGGGGGGGGATCATTCCTTGCTCTCCAGCCTTCAGGTGAGAGTGAGGATATGAGATTTTCACCACTGTGTCATATTGGTTTGAAACATCAAAAGAAAAAATCACCCTAAGATTATACAGCTTAATACCTGTATGCTAAGCAGATACGTAGAATGAATCAATGGAATATTATCCTCATCCTCCCCCTGAACAATATTGCATTATGTTTTTACATATATCACTATTTGTCCGCAGGAAAGATGCCACTTATATATATTCCCCTGTAGCTGCTAAAGATGCCACATATATATATTCTACACACACACACACACACACACACACACGTAGCTGCTTAGTTTTATTTAATTTCTGTTCTCTGTCTTCCCTCCTTAAAAAAATAAACCAACAGTAGAATTTGCAATCAAGTGTATATCAGTGATGCATAATGAAGGTTACAACCCACCCATTGCCTTACCTGGCATAAAATATCTTTGATATATCCTCCACACAATTTGTGAGCCTGCGGATCGATATAATCCATCACCTCCCAGTATTTGGCTGCAATCGTATTGTCTTTGTCCTGATCACAACAACCAAAAGTTTCATAGGCAGAGCAGAACTCCAGGTGGAACGGAGGCTGGAAAGGTGGACCATAATCGAGGCACTGCGGGTGTCCCAGGAGTGGCCCACTTTGGCCCAAGAGCATAAAGAAGACACCGGTGAGAAAATTTAAAGAATGGAAGGAAATCCCGGCTCTGTTGCTCTTGTAGGAGCTCACAGTAGCTTTCCTCACGGAAGTTTTCCTGTTGCTAGATGTCTCCAAGATGTGACCACCTTGAAGATTAGGGTTATTCATCTTCTGAGCTTTGAAGCATCCCAACCAGCAGAGAGCTCAGTGTTTGCTCAGGTTTGCTTACACACCCCTCTCTCTGTCTCCCATTAAGTTTACTATTGGTGTGCTGAGAAGCAAAGCCTTCAGACCGCCTCTTGGCAATTCCACACCTCACACTGCAGAATACTTCCCTCCTTCCTTTTTTTCTGCAATTTTCTCTGACCCCTCTGATAGAAGGAGGCAGATGCCACACAGTAACATACAGTGTGTGTGAGAGAGAGAGGAGGGGGGGAGAGAACTGAAAGCATAAATTACAGCTGCTGCAAGCATTCTATACTATCTGGTCAACAGTTATAGAAAATAATCATTTTTTCCTATTCACAAAGCTCAGGAATCCAAAGCTCAGCAAATGCTGTAGCTGGGAAAGACGATGAATCATTTCTGTCCGTTACATTCCCACTCTCATTTACTGTACTTGAAATTAATCAAACTGAGATCACATTCATGTGAAACATGAAACATGAAATTTATAACGGTCAGAGACCAGCTTGAGATCACATTCTAAAGAAATTATATAGGATTTCCCCTTTGCCAAATTACAAGCATGTGGATTTTTTTTAAAAAAGGGTTTTGTTAATCGATCGTTAATATGCTTCCCACCACAAAAGCCTTGGGTTGTTTAATACGTTCATCCTGGCAATGATATTTTTCAATGACAATATTACAATGGACATCCTTTTTACAAACTGGAAACGAGCATATTAAATGATTTATTAGATGCTACTTAGTAAATCCTACATTTTGACTCATTTATTTTTTGCAACCTTGGCACATATGTACACACACACACACACACACACACAGAGAGAGAGAGAGAGAGAGAGAGAGAGAGAGAGAGAATTTATGTACCCTCCCAAAGCACTACTTATTACCCTAATTACATTCAGTGTTCAGAAATGAATTCATAGACTCATAGAACTGTAGAGTTGAAAGGGACCATGAGGATCATCTAGTCCAGGGGTCTGCAACCCGCGGCTCCGGAGCCGCATGTGGCTCTTTTACACCTTTGCCGCGGCTCCGGGATGGATACTAGCGAGGGGAGGAGGCGCATTGTGCACCCCGACACTCCTCACTGTGGCGGGCGCTGTACTGGCTGTGACGTTGCATGGGGGCGGTGCGTACGTCAGTCACGCACCGTCCCGACGTCACCTTCCCGCCCGCTGTCAGATCGGAGGGCAGCGGCACGCATGCTTTAAATGTCGCAATGGTTTTGCGGCTCCCAGGTTTTTTTTCTTCGGAAACGGGTCCAAGTGGCTCTTTTTGTCTTAAAGGTTGCAGACCCCTGATCTAGTCCAACCCCCTGCAATGCAGGAATCTTTTTTGCCCAACGTGGGGCTCAAACCCACAACCCTGAGATTAAGATTCTCATGCTCTACCAACTGAGCTATCCCAGCTCATAGCCCCATATTGAACATGGGTTGGTCCTGTAAATATTTATGTCTAATTTGCTCTTACTGGTTTCGTTCCCTTTGACCGACAAGACTTTTAAGACTCTGAACATGAAGCTGCTGATAATAAAAAATGATCAGTTGCCAGAAAAACATGGCCAGGTTTGTTGCTTCAGGGGCAATCTAGCTTGAGTTGCTTCTACCCACCCTCCTTCCCTTCTTGACCTTTTTTTTTTAAAAAAAAAAAGCTGTACATTTTAGGAGAAGTGTTTGTGTTAGACTCCACTGTCAGATCTGAGCTCTGGCTCCTGGCTGTACCCCTTTACCTGCTCTGAGCCCCACCCAAAAGACTAACCAAGGTGAGCATTGGCATCTATGCAGATATAAGGGTTAATGCTGGAAAGCTCTAGTAAATATGAACAAAAGTAAAATTTGCTTCTCTGCTCAGAGGCTTTCAGATTTAAAACTAGTACTTTTGATTACACTTCCACATACAGGTACAGCGCTTCCTTCATAGGTTGACAGCATGCACCTTTAAGAATCTTGCTTTGGCTGCCAGATTGCAAAAGGCCACTGTGACCCCTACAAAAATGTGGTGAATGCTATTTCAAAAACAAAAAGCATATCAACAGGTGGCAGACTTGCAAAAGATCTGAGATTAGTGAAAACTTCACCTAGGAAGCCTGGGAACAACTTTTACAATGCAGGTTCATCCAGTGCTGCAGATGAGAAAATATTGTCTTTTATTCTACCCAAATGAACACAGTGTCCATCTGGTATACTATACTATATCTGACTGGCATCAGAATGGATCCCAAGGGTCATCTAGTCTAACCGCCCGCAATGCAGAAATCTCAAGTAAGCATCCATGACAGGTGGCTATCCAACCTCTGCTTAAAGGTAAAGGTAAAGGTCTTGACGTACGGGCCAGTCTTGACAGACTCTAGGGTTGTGTGCTCATCTCACTCTATAGGCCGGGAGCCAGCGCTGTCCGCAGACACTTCCGGGTCACGTGGCCAGCGTGACAAAGCTGCTCCGGTGAACCGGCACAAAAGCAGCACACGGAACGCTGTTTACCTTCCTGCTATAAAGCGGTCCCTATTTATCTACTTGCACCCGGGGGTGCTTTCGAACTGCTAGGTTGGCAGGCGCTGGGACCGAGCAACGGGAGCGCACCCCGCTGCGGGGATTCGAACCGCCGACCATGCGATCGGCAAGTCCTAGGCGCTGAGGTTTTACCCACAGCGCCACCCGCGTCCCAACCTCTGCTTAGAAACATCCAATTAATGAAAGTCCACCACCTTCTGAGGGAGTTCTTTCCACTGTTGAACAGCTCCTACTGCCAGAAAGTTCTGGTGTTTAGGCAGAATCTCCTTTCTTGTAAATTGACTCCATTGGTTCCTGTCTTGCTCTCCAGAGCAGGAGAAAACAAGCTTGCTCCATCTTCCATGTTACAGCCTTTGAGATGTGGGTGGGTGGGTTTCACATCCCTTGTTTCCTGAGCACCTTTTAACATGAGATGCCAGGGATATATCTAGAACACAGAATGTTCCCTTATACCAACTCAGACCATCGGTCCATCTAGCTCAGTATTATCTATGTTGACCGACAGCAGATCTTCAGGGCTTCAGACAGTGGACATCCCCAGGGGTATCTGCAGTTTCTCCTTCACTGATTTAGATTAATAATAGGATATGCACAAATGACAATAGTAGTATTATATAATTCAGTTCCCATTGTTGTAACTTGATGAAGTCAATAATACACTGCGTTTGTCATTTAAGTGCACATTCCAGTTCCATGCTGCTTCTTGGACCTCCTCCAATGCATGGTGTTGTTGCTGTATTCCACCAATACAAAACGTACTTTGCACCACTAGTAGCAGTTCTCTCACTTATGTCCGCTATTTATTAAGCATTTGTTTCCATGTATTTGCAGGGAAGTTATACAAGGGACATTCACAGAACCATAAACACTGTGTGAGGGGTGTGCCTAGCTGGGGTTTTGGCCCCGAGTGAAGCCTCCAGGGGGCGCCATTGAGGCTCCCAGCCTGTGTGTGTGTGTGTGTGTGTGCGCGCGTGCAAATGCACAAGGGGGGGTGTCAAACTGTGTCTTTGACCCAGATAAAATAAAGCCTAGTTTCACCCCTGGACATTCATCCTGATTGGTTTGCACAGGAGTTATACATTGTTCTGTCAATTGTTCTTTATCCCTTACTTGTATTTCCCTATCACTTTGCTAACCACAAAAAGTGTGTTTTTAAAGTGGATTTGTTGCACCAGAGCACTGTAATCCACTTTAAATGCACAAACCTGAATTTCCAGTTGAATCCTTCCTGCAAAGTAGTGGCAGTCTGAAGGCAACCAGAGTCTAGACATTCTCTGCAGGGTGCCTCCGCAAGCCACTCTCCCAAGTCAGACTTCTGATGAAGTCACAATTCAAGGCTGTGCCAAAGTGATGACCATGACCAGCAGGAAGGTGCGTGGGGGCAGATTAATTAATCCATTCACGAGCTCCATCCTAAAGAAAGCATTTCATATGTTTGAATGCCGCAGTGCAGCACAAACAAACACAAACTCGGGGGACAGCGGGAGAGGCGCAGCGCGCCTTTGCCGCTGTCCCCCGACTTGGCTAGAAGGCTGGCGGGGGGAGAAGCCTGCTCCTCCCCGTCGCCAGCCCCACAAACTCGGGGGACAGCGGGAGAGGCGCAGCGCGCCTTTGCCGCTGTCCCCTGACTTGGCTAGAAGGCTGGCGGGGGGAGAAGCCTGCTCCTCACCGTCGCCAGCCCCGCAAACTCGGGGGACAGCGGCAGGGGCGCAGCGCGCCTTTGCCGCTGTCCCCCGACTTGGCTAGAAGGCTGGCGGGGGGAGAAGCCTGCTCCTCCCCGTCGCCAGCCCCGCAAACTCGGGGGACAGCGGGAGAGGCGCAGCGCGCCTTTGCCGCTGTCCCCCGACTTGGTTAGAAGGCTGGCGGGGGGAGAAGCCTGCTCCTCCCCGTCGCCAGCCCCACAAACTCGGGGGACAGCGGGAGAGGCGCAGCGCGCCTTTGCCGCTGTCCCCCGACTTGGCTAGGAGAAGCCGTGCAGCCCTTTTAAAAGGCGCGCGGCTTCTGCCGGTTTTGCGGGAGGTGGGGGAATCCCCCCGCCTCCCAGGAAAGCCAGGAGAAGCCGTGCAGCCCTTTTAAAAGGCGCGCGGCTTCTGCCGGTTTTGCGGGAGGTGGGGGAATCCCCCCGCCTCCCAGGAAAGCCAGGAAAGCCCTGTGCAGCCCCTCCGCCAAGGAGAGGCTGCACGGGGCTAAAGGGGAAGCCAAAACAGCGAGCGGGATCCATCCCGCTCGCTGCCTTGGCTTCCTCCATAGCTGCGCGCAACCCCTCTGCCAAGGAGAGGCTGCACGGGGCTATGGATTCTTTAGCCCCACGCAGCCTCTCCCGGGAGGGAGAGGCTGCACGGGGCTAGGGGAAGCCAAAACAGCGAGCGGGATCCATCCCGCTCGCTGCCTTGGCTTGATCCATAGCTGCACGCAACCCCTCCGGCAGGGAGAGGTTGTGTGCAGCCTGTACGCTGCTCTTTGGAAGTTCTACTGGGTACAACATTCAGATTCCTGGGATTCTTGAGTTTTCTTTTCTTTTGAAAAAGAACATGTTTCTAACCCTTATGGTATGAACTTTTGGACTGAAAGGATGCCTCGGATACCTCTGAGAAGCCGCTGGTCTTGCAGAATGCAATGTCTAGTAGGCAGATGGGAATGCATTGGATTACCCAAGTCAGTTGTGCATATTTGCTAAATGTTCACAATGT